ATATGTGTTTGTTTTTGTCATTAGCTAAACTTGCCCGCTCCCCCACCCCCTTTTTGGCGTTAATGCTAACATCAGGTGCTGTTTAAATCAACCAAGCCCACAAATGTTCTGCTCTACAGGCAACTCTTCTACTCAATTACAACCCTCTCTTCCACACCGCCCCCCACCCCCCCCCCCCGGCCCCCCAACCCCCCCTCCCGGCTCGCCAACCCCCCCCCCCCGGCTCGCCAACCCCCCATCCCGGCTCGCCAACCCCCCATCCCGGCTCGCCAACCCCCCCATCCCGGCTCGCCAACCCCTGAACTCAATATTGAAGGGAAAAGAATACAAAAGTCTCAGTAAATAAAATGATAAACATTTGAAGCAACAATTTCACAACCAGCAAAGTTAGACATTCTGTCAGCATGGATGATTCTCTCGGTGTTCTTCTGTCAGTGTTCATTGTGGTCTTCTCTCAGTGTTTATTGTGGTCTTCTCTCAGTGTTCAGTGTGGTCTTCTCTCAGTGTCCATTGTGGTCTTCTCTCAGTGTTCATTGTGGTCTTCTCTCAGTCTTCATTGTGGTCTTCTCTCAGTCTTCATTGTGGTCTTCTCTCAGTGTTTATTGTGGTCTTCTCTCAGTGTTCATTGTGGTCTTCTCTCAGTCTTCATTGTGGTCTTCTCTCAGTCTTCATTGTCGTCTTCTCTCGGTGTTTATAGTGGTCTTCTCTCAGTGTTCAGTGTGGTCTTCTCTCGGTGTCCATTGTGGTCTTCTCTCAGTGTTCATTGTGGTCTTCTCTCGGTGTTCATTGTGGTCTTCTCTCTGTGTTCATTGTGGTCTTCTCTCGGTGTTCATTGTGGTCTTCTCTCGGTGTTCATTGTGGTCTTCTCTCGGTGTTCATTGTGGTCTTCTCTCGGTGTTCATTGTGGTCTTCTCTCGGTGTTCATTGTGGTCTATTTCAAGTTTAAAGTGGTGACAACACCTCACGAACAGTCTCACTTTGGTTCAAGTCCTGCGAGAACCTTTTCTCCAAGTTAATTAATTGTTTTGTCTGAAAGTGACAGGCGCTGTCGTCTGCTCCATGGCCTGTGTCCTTGTCTCCCGTGCTGGCAGTCAGAGTGACGTGTCCTTGTCTCCCGTGGTGGCGGTCAGAGGGACGTGTCCTTGTCTCCCGTGGAGGCAGTCAGGGGGACGTCCGCCAGGGGCGGAGTTGGAGTGGTTTGAGTCATGGAACACGATTCATGTTTACACCACCCTGCAACTCTGAAACCAATTTTCTTTTATCAATAAAATACCATAATAGCCCCC